CCTTTTGGACAATGATCATGTCCCTCTATGGAGAACTTGCTTGTTCTCACATTTACGATTAACGAGCCTTTACCATCCGAACATCATAAATGAAACCATTCAAGCCTTTTATCATCAATTAAAGATTATATCTACAAAAAAAAAAAAAAATCATTCAATTTGTAGATCGTTTAGTTATCCATACGTGTTAAACTAATCAATAGTTTTAGCTTAGCATCCTCATGATGAACCGCCCATTGGTTTTATGCATATGAATGATTAAAAAATCTCCAAATTGAATAATTTTTTAATAATGATTGTGTTCCTCCCCCCCCACTTACAATTAACATTATTGTCCGAACATATGGAGACTAAATTTGCAGACAAAATTTTGTAAACTAAATGACATGGAAGTTGATGATTGGATTATTACTTCAAACTTGATAAATGTGTTCATTTCTATTGGTGACACGTCAGTTAGTTTGTAAATTTTGTTTACAAATTTAGTCTCCCTAGCATTACTCTTCTCTTTATCATCATTTGGAGATCACATATTAAAAAATCATTCAATTTGGAGATCACTTAATCATGCATACGTGTTAAACCAATCAACAATTTTGGTAACGAGTAGCGTCCTTATGATGAACCGTCCATTTGTTTTATACGTATAAATGACAAAATTAAAGATCCCCAAATTAAATAACCTTTCACATATATGATCTTTAGGTGATGATAAAGAGAATGAGCAGTTCCACTTCTAATGTTCGGATAATAAAAGTTTGTTAATCGTAAGTGGGTGAACAAATAAATCCCTCTATGGGGGACACAAGCATTATCCTTGTTTTTGGGCTGCTATGGCTCTGTTGGCGTTGATACACAACGATTTGTAAACTCTTCTAAAATTATTCAAACTCTTTTCAAGCTAAATTAGGTTTTTCTAACTAGAATATTAGGGTCTTATTATCGAATCGTGTGATTTCACGAAGTGAGTCTCCATAAGCTCATATATATATATATATATACACGTAATTTGAAATAATTAAATCCATGATCGCGTATATATATATACATACAACTTTCCGAAGCATACCTCCCATGGAATTTTTGTGAAAATACTTTTCCAGAATTAAGAAATTAGAAAGCAAAAGAAAACAAAATAACAGAAGGACAAATAAACAAGCTATAGTTGAGCTCAAAAACGACTAGCTAGAGCCGAAAAGATTGACAAATGGAGGAGACAGAGAATCGTAAAAGAGAAGCCGTCCAAAGGAGCCACACGAAGTAGGATCTTAAGTCATAACTACAAAAATTATTTAATGGATTGATCAAATCAATTTAGCCGTGAGTGGGACTGAGTCAATTCAGCCGATTTTCGATGGTTCTATTTTGTATTTTACTTTTGAGCAAGGGAAACTATATAATAAAGTCACTGCATGCATAATTGTAGATATATATTTATACATATTATATGGGAATGATCCCTAGCATCATTTTTCTACCCCACCATTTTTTACATATGTTTTTGTGAGGGTCACATAGTAATATATTTCAACTAATCGAATCGTAAATTTTTTAGGTCTTTTCTCAAAAATTATGTTTATCAAAAATCATCAAAGTCTAAAACCATACATATCACAGTTGAATTAAGGGTTTAAAATTTCTTTATAGAACCGTATTCGTCTATTTTCTTCACTACAAATGAATTTTTAATGACTTTGGATTTATCTAATTTTCTATAAGGATGATTTATGAACGACGTTTTAGATAATACATGATTCGGATCATTAAAATACATTACGGAGTAAGTTCCACAAAAAATCGTGTGTCAAAAATTATGTAAAATAAGTGCTACCATGCACGGTTCTTCCATATATATATAGTTAAAGAGAGTACTTCTTTTGTGTTTTGTTCGTCCATGGATTATGCATTTTTAGGTAGCTGTAGTACAAACTAACTGCAACTTCTACTTATCTGCATGAACGAATATATACTCGCTCCAAGGTACCCACCGAAAGAATAAACTGGTCAAGGAAAAAAATAGAAGAAAGTGGTCAAAATATTTTATCAATTTCAATAAAATATGAGATGTAATGCATATCACTTCAATTCTATGGGATTTAATTACATATATAATTTTATTTAATAGTAGAAGATGATATTTGACTTTGTGACATCTTTCAACATTAGAAAAAGTGTACCTCAACATAACTTCTAGATAGATATTATTGTTGTACATGTTTAACCATTTTATTAATACATATATATATATATATATATATAAAATATTGCGAGGAAAAATATTTTACCTAGTTGTAAAATCACGATTGTATGTAGAAACCAAGAAGTAATAGATAAGTGAGTGACCAGTGTGATGCGAGTAGAAAACGACTTAGCTAGAGAATGAAGATAATTGAAAGTTAGAATTTCTTAGTTTTGAAACAATATACCTCTCAAATGTTGAAGGTGAATACCTTTTATATAGTTGAGTGTATAAATTAAACATAACTTGTGTTGAGAAAGAATTCCACATTGATAGGATGAGAGACCTTACATGGACTTATAAGAGATCGGGCTATTCCCCACATTGCCAATTGGTTTTATGGTGGAACCTCAACTTTTTGCATGATATCAGAGCAAGTTGTCCCACGTGTGAAGCCTAACGGCTACACATGCTCCACGTGACCCTATTGTGTTATCTATGTGTTAGGCTTGAAACATGTGTTCCACGTGACCCTGTTGTGTTGTCTATGTGTAATGCTTAAAAATTCGCCACATGTGAAGGGCGTGTTGAGAATGAGTCTCACATTGATGGGAGAAGAGATCTTGCATGGGCTTATAAGCATGTGACCCTGTTGTGTTGTCCACGTGTTAGGCTTGAAAATTCGCCACACGTGAGGGGCATGTTGAGAATGAGTCCCACATTAATGGGAGAAGGGACCTTGCATAAGCTTATAAGAGGTTGGGCTACTCCCCATATTGATAATTGGTTTTATGGTGGAACCTCAACTTTCTTCAGTGTTACGTATGATATATTACAAATAATTTGACTTTTTTTTCATTCACTAAATGTCACTCTTGCTATATTTTCTATACCATACTTGTCTTATCTCTTTAGTAAACATGGAATATATTTGTATTAACAGATCTTATCTTTATTAGAGAAATAATACAAACGTAGTATAAAACTTATGATAAATGTACTATTACTCTTTTAATTAACAGGTCAAACGGTTAATGTAATATTACGGTATAGTGGTATTCCTCTTCACATGTAAGTGAGAGGTCTTGGTTCGATTCTCACCAAAAGTGAATTTGAACCACATTATTGCTAGCCCAGTGTAAAGCTTAACTCAATCATCACCCCTTAATGTAGATAATATTGTTTGTTCAAAAAAAAAAAAAACAAAACGTAACCTATATAAACTATATGATATTGAGAAGCCAAAAATATAAAAATAATTATTTGCTTTGAATGCTCTATTTAATTGTTAGCAAACATGGTGTTCTTCTTTTTTGTGGATATATGTAGCAGTTTGGACGATGGTATCAAGTTTTTTCCTCCTTCTAGGTGAACGAAAGCCTAATCAACTTAACCCCTCCCACTTGATTTACAAGGGGCTTCGATGGTTCGGGAGATATCGTACGGAATTATAAACAAATACATATTAATTATTAGAGTTGATTATTGACATAAGAGGGAGAGACTCTTTAATTGGTGTATATGTTACTTTTCCACTATACTCTTCGAGTTCCTTACTTTTAAACCCCTTTTTTGGGTGCCAGGGTTTCTTTCTTACCACATTTAAATTGCATGCAACGTGTGCGGTTCAAATAAAATTAACGGTCCTTTTTCCTTATCAATTCCTTCCCCCTTTAAACGAAAGCAACGTTTAGTTTATTGTTTCCATTTTTGTGTACGAATTAGTGTAAAAAGAATCATGAGCCTTGGAGAATGTATGAGCGGATGTCCCTTCCTCGTATATGCATGGCATCTTATGGTCAAATTTGGCCGTGGTTCTGGTTTTCGCTATCTTGGTCTCTTTATGGCACCGGTAATTCATGTCTATGACATTTCTTTTTGTGTTCTTTCTAGTTTGTCAATGAAATTTCTTTTCAAATGTTTGCATGACCGACCAATTATCTGTGTACTTTGGTGCTTTGTTATTTGATGTTATTTGATCAGTCCGAATATTTTAATTTGACCGACTTTTATTAATGAAAATGGGAAACTTTAACGAAAAGCTTCCGGTACTGTTCACTTTAACAAAAAAACTACATTTTCACACTAAAAAGTCAATTCTAGTACTATTCACTTTACTCTTTATTTTGTCATTATTATTAAAACTCAAAGTTTTCAAGCCCTTTTCATTAGTTTTCCTATAAAATTGCTCCTGATATTTTTACCCAAAAATAAAAGAGAGTAATAAGCCTTGACAAATTAAGAAAAGAGGTTCATATATAGTTCATAAATTAATTTTTCATAAACCCCAAACATAATCCTACTCAAGGACCTCTAGAAATATAATTAGCATGCATCTGGAACGTGTCACATATAAAGGCCGGCGGCGGCAATTGACTGTGAGAAATCATATGATATGAGATCAAATATATTTAGGCTGACTCACGATGTGTCACACATAGCCGAATTCGATGATCACTAATTAGTCGACACTATACCAATTTGGCTAAATTCATATTTACAAGTATGTGATGTAAATTAATTCATGCCTTCAACTGTAATCTCATCATCATATATATATAGGGGGGGGTGTGTGTGTGTATAATTGTTATTCCACTTCAAAATTCTCATTTTGCATTCCAAATTTTCTCTTTTTAGAAAGAAAAATACATTTGTGAAAAGTATAAAATGAGATTTTTGGAATGCCAATAACACTTCTCAGATATATATATGCGCGCGCGCGTATGTATCAGTCTCAAAAGTAATTCATTTTCATTAGACTATTATTTGACATATGTAAGCTGCTGAAAATCTCGTCAAACAAACTAAAAACAATCATCAATTAACAAAACAGTTTGATCACCTTCTTAAAACTTTGTGACAAAAGAGCGTCTAATTCAAGAAACAAAAATACACCACAAACATGAAGGAAATAGTATCATTATTCTCCCACGATCGATCTCCCGGGAACTTGAACTTGGATGTGTACCGTCCCCTTGAAGTACTGCTGTCAAGGTCGACGGTTCCTATCCCTAGGGGGAGGATTTGAACTCGAAGAAGAAGAGGAACCGAACGCCGGCATAGAATAGCTTAAGGGATGTTGTTGATCTTCTTGTTGATGAGATGGTAAGAAAGGTAACAAAGATGATGAAGTAGTTTCTGAAGTCTGGAAAGCAAATCCTTCTCTTTCACTAAGAGTAGTTGGTAAATCATCATAATTTACACACTCGTTACCACTCAGAAAATATGGTGCATATTGATCATGAGGAGTAGCAACATTATTAGGGAATGCCTGCAGTTGATATTGATGATCAGGAAGAGGCTGGTGGTGGTCCGTAATACTTTGAGATGCCCCAGCTGGCAAGTTTTGTTGAGTACTAGTTGTAGTGAGGTAACCTAATTCAGTAATTCTTCCCTGAACTCTTTCGGGAAAGTTGAGCTTAGCTTTGCTTCCTTTAAACCTGAGAGCTGCTTCATCATAAGCAAGCGCTGCGGCCTCTGCGGTTTCAAAGGTGCCGAGCCACACTCGAGCGGCCTTCTTCGGGTCACGAATCTCAGCTGCCCACTTTCCCCATGGTCTCTGCCTCACTCCTCTATAGTGCCTTCTCCTCACATTCCCTTCACAAATTAATAATGTTATGTAGTTTCCCAAGTTGATCTAAACAGTATCTTATGTATATTGAAACACAATAAATGATATATAGATATGATATTCAGCGCTCAATTCATCTAACTACGGGGATGGTGATTAAAAAATGGGTCCATATATAAGGGGTAACATATATATATTTATATATACACACTAATTTGCATATTGATATGTATTGTTAATTGTAAATCAAATATGTGCACTTTAACTAATCATCTTTATTTGGTAGAATAGCTACATAGAAAACAATTGTAGCTATGAAACAAAGTAGCAAAGTAGTTGTTATTATGATGAGAAAAAGAGTGTAACAATATATACAATCTACACAAATGAGCTATAGCAGACATGCATTAAAAACATTAGGGCCAAAATACAGAGGGCAAACTTCAGTTTTTTTTTTTTTTTTTTAAAAATTTTTACTATTATTAGGAGAGGGGAGATAGTTCGAAACTATTACAATAATTTAGGGGAGGAGGAGTTTTGAACCGGGAATGCATAGGTAGAAACCCAACCCCCGATTTAAGCTGTTATTACGGCATCCGTGCTGCTTTTGCAGATAAAAACATTAACCTCATTAAAAACATGCATCAACAATTTGAAGATGGAAACGGAACAATATAGAGGATTTCAATAGGGCACCTGTTGAGAATAAGATCATTACACAACTTCATGTTCATGCTTACTTTTACAGGTAAAAAACTATCACAGCGTATAAACTGAAACTGGATCGATGTCATATGAATATTTAATTCTACACACCGGAGCTAAATCAATTAAAAATTGGAAATTAATAAAGAATATTTAACTACTAGCAATAATACTCATGGTCAATAGTATGACTGATCAATATTAAACCTTGATCTTGAGCCTGTTGAGGAGATTGACCATCATGCAATTCCATGGCGCTGGACTGGGGCGTGATCAGTGGCGGCTCCGCCGGCTCTTGAACAGCCGGGGTCTGGCTGTTATTGCTTCCAAGAACTTGAGCTAGAGCTGAGACCATGGCAGACATCTCATGTTGAGATCGAGCAGATGAGCAAAACGGATCGAAGGTCATTTGATGATCCTCCTCTTTCTTCTCTGATTCATCACCAGGAAAGGACCTCTTCCCATGCTTGCGATCCACCTTATGACCTTGTTAAAACCAGTTGAAAATTTGCAAAAGATATATATTCTTGTGCCAAATCATCAAGCAAACATGCACCACAAATATTGTTCACTAGCTGGCAATTAATTAACTATCTTATTTTGCTTCATTATATAAATATGAATCAAGATCCGCAGTTGAGCAGTTTGCTTCCTCTTCGGCATCCAAGTTCGGATCCTCCTTTTGCGTTAAATGAAATTACTGTACAGAATCAAGAGAGGTAGACACTGAGGGAGGACAATAGCAAAGAGGAGGAGGAGGAGGAAGAAGAGAAGATGGAGAAATGCTAGGGTTTGATACAGTCATATATAATATATATCTTTCCCAGCCTATCTCCTCGCCTAGTTGGTGTAAAATTTTGGGTGCTGAACTGAAAAGGAAATGGTCCAACTTTAACGCCCTCTATTCCATCCTTTCTATTGCTTTTTGAACTAGACGTGTTTACTTTTGAGACCAATGACTGCGGATGTTTATCTCATTACTTTTCCATTTTTAAATTTATCATTATTCTTCTAAATTAATAAATTAAATTGTTAATTTTATTTTTCTTTGACAAATACTCGATGGTTTTCTTTTTTTCTTTTTTTTTTTTTTTGAATAGATCGACATTTTTACACTAAGAGAAGGGAGAGTTCGGCAAAATCACACAATGGCAACCTAATTTGATATCGAATTCACCGTTCACGAGATTCAAACCTAAAATCTCTCACTTCCAAATGAAGAGGAATACCACCTGACCATAATACTGAGTGACGACAAATACTCAATGTTAATAGTTCATGGATGTCATGGAGGAGCCATCAGAAAGGGAAATGATTTGATCATTCATGTGCTTATCCAAAGAAGAAAAAACGGGGTAGAATTCGCATATGTCAAATCATGCATCATGCATGAATGGTAAACTACGGTTAATGCTACACTTATTGCATATTTATATTATCTTTTAATAGATGTAAGACCCACTAATATATGTGAGTCTCATCTTTGTTTTTAGTAAAATATTAGCTTATATAGCATGCATTTTCATGCACAATATTATAGTAAGTTTTCTTATTTGAAATAGGACAAATCATGAATTCGAGATGTTAGAAAATACGGAAAAACTAAAATTGGTGTGAAATCAACTACTAAATAATTGTACTGTGAGATTTACATACATTTTGATTCTATATAGGTTAGGGAACGAAATGGTAAACATGTCAATAAACTTGGCCTACATCCATAAACATAACAATAAAAAAACTTGAATTGGGCCTTGTAATTATTAGACTAAAGGGTTATTGGGCTATAAGTTAATATAATAAAAATAAAAACAGATGTATTATTAAATTCCGGTTTGGTTCGATCCGGATTGGTTTTAGTGTCATGAAATCGTGAACCAAAGTGGATTGAACTGGTCCTTTTTTATTTCGGTTCAGTTTTTTTAATTTTATAATCAACTTGATTTTTTTTACATTTTTTTAAGCTTTAGTTCGGTCCAGTTTTTCGGTTTGACAATTTTTATGCCCAACCCTAATTATACGTATATATTCATAATTGTTATCGTGGAACGTAGTTAATTAAATTGAACTGCGGCAGTTACTTAGCAGGCATCACGCAGCCTAGCTAAGCACAAAGTGTACTTTGTAGCATCTTTAATTACCAACCTTGATTATATTTTGTGCAGAACTAACCGTTGCCTCAAGTCCTTAGTACTGAAGTGGATAAGTGAGAGGTGGGTGGGTTTAATTTGATTAAGAGCTCGTTTAAGACTGCTTTTGTTAGAAATCACTTGTATTAGAACACGTTTAATTTTAGGTAACATCTAGGTGCTAGCACTTGCAAATGCTTCTTAAAAGGCCACTTCAGAAATGCTTTTTCTAAAAGCACTTTTATGACCCAAAACACATATTTTCTATGAGACGTAGTAGAAGCGTTTTAATCATGTACAAAGTAGTCTCAAACAGGCGTTAAAGGCCAGCCACTTTTTGGACATAAATTTGTCCGAGTGAAGAGCCTGCAAAATAATTCGTTTATGTAAACAGGCCCAAGAATCCATGGCCAATCCGTGGACTTTTCGCCGGAGAAAACAATTGAAAGGGTTCCATTTGTTTCAAAACAATCATATCCAAGAGAGAACCCGATGTGCATTCAAACTTGTTTAAAAATACTTTTAAAATGTACTGAAAGCACATTCAGAGAAAATATTTTTGAATTCTAAAACTACTTCAAGTGCTTCTTAAAAGAAGTACCAAGTATGTGCTTATTCTAAGACGCACTTCAAGTACTTTTCCAAGATTCACTTGCGTTTTTACTAAAGATTAATTCCAAAAACGTTTTCACTACAAGTGCTTTCAATCATTCTAAATACACATCCAAACGAGCCCTACATCTTGTACTTTCATTCATCATTCATGTTTAAGTTCATAAAGCAATATAATTTTGCAATCAGAGCAAACAAAATTCAGAAACGAAAAATCAGGGGGGAACAAGAAAGAAAGAAAAGTAAAAGATTAACCAGTTCCACAAGATGAAAATACTTGTATGACTATTCTGAAACTGTTCTTCGCACCCTTCTCCCAATGGTTGGTTTCGAAAGATAACCCGTTGCCTTCTCCACGCTTAGCGCATCCGATTGTAGAACGCTAGCCTGGTAAAGAGAGCTGCAGGAACTTAAGTTGTCAGTCTCACAAAGGCCGCGAGGGCTGTGCAGCTGCGGTCATCCCAAGTCTCGGATGTGATAATGCAACATAAAATTGTTCCTCAATACAATTGCATTAGGATTTCCATGCAGCCAACGGGTAAGGAAGGAAAACAAAAGACATTCAGGCTCGTATTGCACGAGGATCAAGAAGAGAACATCAATCTTCATATGTACAGTTCTTTACATGATCATAAAATTGGTTTGACATCTCTCGATCGCATGTAAGTCAGAAATTGAGCCGGTAGTTCTGCTAAGAGTGCCTGAACAACAGAAATTTCTCCACCTGGTGGTGAAAGGGGGAGTTACTGCCTACTAATTAAAGTTGGTAAGCGGATATGGTAAAAGCATATGAAAAGGCTTACTTTGTACATCTCGGAATGGAACAAACTGTACTATATCACGTGAAGCCACACGTCCAGTAGAACTTTCAAGTCTCTCGCCCTTGTCAGCATCCAAAATCTTCAAAACGAAAAAGCGGAGACATTTAGTTTCACAGCATTCGGGCTTTTAAAAAAAATATGACTGTTCCAAGAACGATATCCAGCATTAAAAACAAAAGGGAATGAAATACCTCCATTTCTTTGAAGTCAGCTCCTCCAACTCCAACAATTAGGATTGACAATGGCAGGTCAGAAGCTTTCACAAGGGCATCTTTGGTTTCTTGGAGATCTGTCACCACTCCATCCTACGGCAGTAAAATTTTAGAACAAAGTTCCGGTCGAAACTAAAGAAACTGGAAAATGTTGGAGTACACTAAAACAACTTGAGAGATATTGCGTGCAAGTACTAAAGGAACTTCAGGGATGCATTGGTACCGCCCATCCAACCCCATTATGCTTACCGTGATTATTAACAAAACAAAGTATTTTCGTCCACCATTTGCAAGAGACTGGCTGGCATTAAATGCAGCATTGGTAATTACGGGTCCAAAAAGAGTTGGTCCTGCAAGAGAAACATTTTGGAGGGCACTTGCATATGCCATCATAATTCCTTGGATTCCTTCAACCTGAAAGAAATAGATTCACATAATCCTTAAGATAGAGAAACCAGCTACAAAGTTTAACAGAAGTAAGTTCTGGTCATAAAGTATTCCACCTCACAGTGATGACTACTCCCGTTCAAGTTGAAACAATGGGAAACTGGACCGTCAATTGGTCTGGCTCCAAATCCCCAGGCAGGAAAGCGCTTGTCTGAATCATAAAACTGCAAAACCTCCACAACGTCGATGATTGCCTGGAAAACAATGTCACAATCATATGGATCCGAAGAAAGGAAGAATTGCAAAGATCAAAATTCAAGGGACCTAATTCTCACTCTCTGGTATGCATTTGGGCGTCCTGTAGGATCTATATAATGCAAAGAATCAGGCAGGCGAGGATTTCCATTTGAAGCTGATAAACAAGGAATATGAGTGAATTTGATAAGACAATTTAACATGTGTTAAAGGAGCCACAGTGAACCAGTTTTGCATTTATAAGAGGGCAACAGTAAGAAAAGTTTAAAGCAATAAGCTAGAATAACAATGATCACAGCACAAGTATGGTGCCACAACACCTTTCTTTAGAAGACAACTGGAGCCACGCAACTGCACTTGCAGATTTGCAAGGCTCAACTTCTAGTGACAATCACTTCTATCATGATATATACATTTGCAGCAAAGGAATTATGATGTACAGTAATGTTTATGAGTAGGTAAGCACCTGTAAAATCAACAGCAACCATGAAGTTCAACTCACAGCCCCCAGCCAAGTAATCAAGGAAGGTGTGCTGGACGGTCTCGGTAAACTTGTCCACAAATAGTTGGCTCTTCAGTACCTGCAATGAAGTCAGAGAACTTATAAATTAAGAGAAATTGGGATGGAAATCCACTTAATAATATATTGCCATACTATAACATTACCTTGTTGTGGAAATCATGCCCAACAGCAGTTGGTAAAAATAAATGCTCTCCTTGTCTGCTATCATGAAGCTTTTCCAAGTCTGCCAGTGATTTCTGAACTTTTCTGTATATTCAACGGAAGTATAGTACTGTAAGGAGGAGAAAAGGAAAACAAAGCCAGCAAAAAACAGTTGCTCATCTACTCCATAGGAATTAGGCAACTAGAAGGAAGAAATAGATATCTATTTACCCAATCAAGTCATGCTTGCCATTGTTATTGAAATTAAAACACTCCATTATCAATGGGCTGTCCTGCAGATTAACGAAAAATATTAAAATGAGAAAACTATTACAAACAACAGG